TCTCATGAATATTCACAAGGACCACAAGTCTGAATTATTCATAACTTAGACCAAAATGAAAAAAAAAGAAGAAATATTCTTATCTTCCGAATCAGCAGACGCCATGAATAAAATATGTTAAGCTAATTTTCCCTGTAAGGAAGGCAACAGAGCGAACAAGTACAGAACCGAGGAAATCCGAAATGGCCCGCGAAAATTAGTTTGATCCATCTCTCATATCCAGTCTACCACTAGCTTCACGGCCATCACAATGTTGAATGATTATACTTCATTTTGTGTCATTTGAGAAGTTATGATAATTCTTCATTTGCAGTGGAGATCGTGTTGGAATTTTAGGCCGTTAAAAATGCGCATAGCTTCGATTCCGATGCTATGAAGAAGCATACCACACTTGTAATCTTCCGGTTGGTCTAGTAAACCTGTTATTATGCAATAGTTGTCCCATCTTTGCTTCCAGATCTTCCAATTGTCAGCCTGATCGCCATCAACATCAAGTGGATTCAGAGCAGGTACTTGTGGATGATGGAACGGCAATACTTCAGCGGCTGAAGCGCCACTGGTTTCGGGGGAACTCATGACAAATGTTGAAGTGTGCTTTACAAGCAACGAGAAGAAGGTTAGAGCCACAAATAAAACAGCGAAACGTGGAGAAATCCCTGATCAACACAAACAGTGTAGCGGTTGGCCGAACAATACGTGGTGGAGATAAAAGAATAAGCGGTTCTGTTTTTTTTTTTTTTTTTTTTTTTTTTTTTTTTCGTTTACGGGTCTGGAGTAGAAATGACGACAGCAGTAATCACTGACGAGTTTTTCTATCCCGCCGCTGCCACCATGTAACAAGCCAGAACGGGCAATGTAGAGGAGAACACATACAAAACCAAGATGTCGGACCAACAAGATATATTTAATATAAGAAAACAGATGTCGTCAGCGGACCACGAGGTGGTGACAGTGTCATGCAATATTGTTACACTATTCACATAGTCCAAACTGTCAGTTTCTGGAACAATACTGTTTACTTGCATGTCTTCATATTGTTTGAATATGTCTCTCATAGAATCAATGATTTTGGATAAACCAAAATGTTCCGGAATCGGATTATACAGAGTGGACTGTACTCCATCTAACCTGCGTATTTTCTTTTTTTGTGCTGCATCATTGCTCGGTGGTTTCACTTGCTGCACCAGCACCTCTTGCACCTCGCAGGGATTGATTCCTGCTGTCCTTTGATGTTCTCAATCGGCAGAACGGTCAATATCCAACGGGGTCGTCACACAGAGCAATAACTTTTACCTTTTAATTTCACGTTAGAATGAACAGTGAAGTCTCACAATCAACATGTCTTCCTTCGTCTTACACGTGTAAAAATGCGCCCGCGATACAAATAAGCGGTAAATTCGCGAAATCATCTAGGCAACTAGTTAATCATTGAACGGCTAAATAATTACAATTTTTCGATTCTTAACATCCCCCTCCAGAATGCAATTGATGCATTCGCTGACTAATAACATGCCTGAAAATCTTAAGTCTACGGGGGAGCATGACCACTGTCATAGACTGTTTCTCAATAAAGATCAAAGTTCAAATCATCTTCTCTAATCAATGTTTCAATCAAAGTTCTAGGTAACAAAACATCAATGACTGTCACTTTCACGATCAGCCACAGTTCTGGTATCACACTCCAACGTTTAATGACTCTCACTCCTCAGCACTGTCTTCTACATACTCCAGTGGACACAGGCGATGGACAGGACGCCAGTACTCCTTGTTCTTTGCCTTGACTTTTACAACTCTCACTAGACCATCATCACCAGGGTATCTTCAATCACACGGCTGAGAGGCCACTCTCCTCTGCTGGTGTTTGGCTCTACAATCAGTACAACATCACCTTCCTTCAAATTGTGTCTTGGATGAAACCATTTCTTCCTGACATTAAGGTTGGGCAGGAACTCCTTTCTCCAACGTTTCCAGAACTGTCCTAGAAGCTGCTGCACACGGTGCCACCGTTTCCTAGGGTTGTAGGTTTGTTCGTGGTCAAGTGCCTCTGGGGCAAACGGTCCTCCAATCTCTCCAACAAGAAAATGGCGTGGAGTGAGCGGCGAAGGGTCATTGGGATCTGAGCTGACATAAGTAATTGGTCTGGAATTCAACAATCGTTCCACACCACAGATTGCTGTGTGAAGCTCTTCGTCAGTAACATCTGCGTCTCCAAGGATAGCTTTGATTGCCTTCTTCGCACTCTTGATCAATGCTTCAAATACACCACCAAAATGGGGGGCACACGGAGGGTTAAACTTCCAGTCAATTGGGTGATATTTGCTGGTTTCTTGCGTGATTCTGTCGGTGTCAAGGGCCTTCACCAACTCTCGAAGTTCGCGCTCTGCTCCAACGAAGTTGGTTCCGTTGTCAGAGATAACATAGGTTGGTGTCCCCCTCCTTGACGTCATCCGGGTAAATGCGTTAATAAACGAGTCAGTGTCTAATGAGTAGGACATTTCCAAATGCACAGCTCGGGTTGTAAGGCAAGTGAAAAGACACAGGTAACGTTTGGCTCTTGTCCTACCACGTCCTTGCTTCGTCAAGAATGGACCTCCATAATCGACACCAACTTTTTCAAATGCCCTTAGTGAAGACTGCAATCTCGATTTGGGTAAGGGGGCCATCATCTGATGGCCTATTTTCATGGTGAAACGACGTCTACATTCAGCACAAGCCTCGGTTACGTTTCGTACCATGCGCCTTCCTTTAACAATCCAGAAGCGGCTTCTTAACTCAGTTAGAACTTGCTCTACTCCAGCCCCATGGCCGAGTCTTTCATGGGCGTCAGCGATAACTAGTTTTGTTACAGGGTGGTCCTTTGGTAGTAGGATCGGGTGCCTTGTATCATATGGAAGCTCATCTGCAAAACGCAAGCGTCCATCCATTCGAAGTAACCTATCACCATCACTCTTAGGGTTCAATTGAGTCAGCGAACCCTCGTTTTCTCCACCAGGGAAGGCTTGGGCTTGGGCTTGGGCTTGGGCTTGCTTAATCCAGAACGTCTCTGCTTCTGATATCTCGGTTGGCAGGAGAATTCGATCCTTTCTTCGTAAATTCATCGGAAGTCTGCAGTTGGTCAGGAATCGCTGAACCCATCCTGTCACATGAACCAGACGCTTAAGGCTTGAGAATCTGTTTGGGTCAATGATCATATTGGCATGGCTGTTGGTTACGTGTGTTCTGGATGTCGTTCGTCTTTCATAGTCTTCATTCTTCTTAATGCTATCTCTGGGGGGTGGTGCCGCTGGCCAGGTTGACTCATCATTTTTAAGGAAGGCTGGTCCTTCCATCCAAACTTCACTCTCGGCTAAGGCCATGGCAGAAAGCCCCCTTGTTGGCAGGTCTGCTGGGTTTAATGTTCCTGGTACGTGTCGCCACTGCTCAGAACTTGACGTTCGCTGTATTTCACCAATTCGGTTGGCAACAAATGGTTTGAACTCACGGCTTTGATTGCGGACCCAGTACCACACATTCTCTGAGTCAGTCCAGAAGATGGTTCTATCTACGGAGATCACTTTCAGGATATTCTGGGCCAGACGACTTGAAAGGATGGCACCCATAAGCTCTAACCGGGGAATTGTCATTGCTTTCACTGGGGACACACGACACTTTGATGCGATAAGGCGTGACGACGGACTGCTATCCTGGTACCGACAGACTAAATAGGCAACTGATGCAAAAGCGTCATTAGAAGCATCTGAAAATAGGTGTAGTTCAATGTTCTCTGGGTATGCTCGACGCAGACAACGAGGGACAGCAACATTTGACAGTTGTGGGAGTTCTGATACCCACTTCTCCCACTTAATTTTTAAGTTCTCGGGTAATTCGTCATCCCAATCAACACCAGCCATCCATATCTCCTGCATAAGGACCTTTGCTCTCACGGTGAATGGTGCCAAGAACTGAAGTGGGTCAAACAGGCTGGCTATAGCGCAAAGTACGTTTCGCTTGGTCTGTGCTTTGTTGTTAATGAGTGGCTGTTGCACTTGGAAGGTAAAGACATCTCTTTCAGCTTCCCACATGACTCCAAGAGTCTTGGTCTTTGGCAAGATATCTTTGTCTAAGTCTATGGTAGGTAGCCGGTCTTCTTTCGGGATGTCTTCAATTACAACTGGTTCATTGGAGGACCACTACCTTAACTTGAAGCCTGCCATGGCCAAAAGGGTAGACAGCTGGCGTCGCAGGTGTTGAGCACTCTCAACTATCTCACAGGAGTCTAGTACATCATCCACATACATTGAGTCTTCAACGGTGCTTGCTGCTTGAGGAAAGTCTAAAGCGTGCGTCTTGGCATAGGTCTGAAGAACATACTGGGAACAAAATGGCAAAGCAGTGTTTCCAAACAACAGTCGCTGAAACTCATACACGTCAGGCTCTCTTGAAGTGTTGAAGTCACACCACAGGAAACGGTGATATGGACGGTCTTTCTCTTGCAGTTCAACTTGTAAGAACATCTCAGAAATGTCAGCTGACAGGGCTACAGGTGCACGACGAAAACGTGTCAGCACATCAACCAAGTCTCTTTGAAGCTTTGGTCCCGGCCATATGGCGTCATTCAAGCTCTTTCCATGATGCTTTGCCGCAGCATCAAAGACCACGCACACTTTTGTCGTGACTCTGTCTTCTTTGACCACTGGAAAGTGGGGGAGAAACCATTGCTTTTCAACTTCAGATTGGGGTACTTGACGAATGTAGTCCTTTTTCTCATAGTCTTGAAAGATCTTGTTGTAGACTTCCATGACCTCTGGGCCTTTTCGCTTGAGGGACTTCTCCTGGCTTTTGAGTCGCACGATAGCTACATCATAATTGTTAGTGAACTTTGGTTCGCCTTCTTTCCAGGGGATTCCTATTTTGTATCGCCCATTCCTGACCTCCAGTGTCTCAGATACTTGAGTGACTGCCGCTCTCTCTTCTGCTGTCATCCGTTGTTCAGACTTGTCCATGATCCCTAGGGATTCGAGTTCCCAAAATGCAGGCAGAATGTCATCAGGAGGCGGTGGCTTATTGACTTGACTGCTGCGGTACGTGCGTGTGAAGTGGGAATGAGTGTTACGCCGGAATTCTTCCACCAATGTAGGACCAAAGCACACCCAGCCCAAATTTGTCAAACGCGCAATGGGGTCATTTGGTTGGTCACCACAAGCTTCCTTCAGTACATGATGAAAGACTGGATGATCACTGCCAATCACGATGTCAATCTGACGCCATCTTGATACACTTTTGAATGGCACTTGGCGAAGGTGGGGCCACTTATCCTTCAGTTCTGACCAGCGAATAGCTGGAGTATCGCCGGCAATGTTGTCAAGGACATGGGCCTGCAACGGACTTGAAAAGGTACCATCTAGGTTTGTCACGGTAAGTTCAACCCTGCGTGAACGTGTCTTGACTTCTACTCCTCCTGTTCCTGCGATTGTCAGATTCAACTCCTGTCCATGTAACTCTAGCTGCCTCCTCAGAAATGTAGGAACTTGTGGAGCATGGGTCTAGCATGACATTTACCCTCAGTCCTTTATTTCCATTGCTGATCAGAGCTGGGAGAATCATCAAAGACACATGTTCAGCATGGCTAGTATTGTGTGTCTGCTCTCGAGGTGCCGGGTCATTCATGCTTGCTCCTGAATTCTGTAGGGTTCTAGATTCTGGATTTGCCTGTTTGTCTGGTCGGAAAGGCAAGGCGCCCACATGTAGTTGGCTTTGTGATCTGTCCGTCGGTTGATGGGAAGTATTTTCGTGAAGATAGCTGCTATGATGAGCACTGAGACATCCGTCAACTCCACATCGCCTCTTGTTAGGGCATTCCTTGCTGTGATGACCAGCAGCTAGACAACGGTAACAACGCTTGGCACTTCCAATCAGCTCCTTTCTCTTTGGAACAGGTAACTCTTTGAAGGCTTTGCAAACCCATGGAGGATGGTTCTGCTTACATGTCTCCACAATACAGCTTCTTGACTTCGATTTGGTGTTGAAGGTTCTGCCACGAACTCGATCACTTCGAAAACCATTTCTTCGTCCTTCTGGCTCATCAGATTTTCTTTTCCCGAACCCACTCGTCTCTTCCCTTGCTTCTTCCATAATCTGCACTCGGATCTTTACCCATTCTATGAGTGACTCGAAGCTGTCTTCTAGGGAATGACCGATAAGCCAATGCTTGTAAGCCTGCACATCCTCCTCTGAAAGCTTTTCCTTTGCTGTGAGGTTCAGATTGTGCCCTTGAAGTTCTTGCCCTGGACCACAGTCTTTCAGCGCTATCCAAACTCTTTCCAGTATACCCTGAAAGTTCTCCATATCTTCTAGATTTTGGGGTCGAACTTTTTGCCATCCACGCAGAGCAGTCAAGTGTTTAATTTGCAAACGCCTCTCCCCTCCATACTTCTTTTCGAGTTTTTCCTTTGCTCTTTCGTAGGCATTGATAGAGTATCCTAGGTCTTTCACCAATGTCAGGGCCTTTCCGGTCAAACTGCTTTGAAGAAGTAACACTTTTTCACCAACAGGAATATCCATTCCATCAACAATAGACATAAAGGCAGCCCTCCAAGGCTCGTAATCAGCTTTATCTTCTCCTGAGAACTTAGGGAGATCGACACCTTTCAGCTTGACAGGTAAGCTCCTTTGTACTAGTCTTCCAGGGTACTGGCCAGGTCCACAGGCATTCTTTTCATAAACTAGATCAGGGGAAAGGGAGATGCCCAGTGAAGTGTCATCCTTATTGAGTAAGCCAGACTCTCGCTCTGCTGCATCTGCTCTCAGTTTATTCAGAGCAGCAACCTTCCTTGCTTCTTCAGCCCACTGTTTGGCTAGCTGAACTTCGGCAGTTATTTTTTCAAGCTCTAACTCTTTTTGTTTTTGCTCTTCTTCTACTTGAGCAAGGCGTTCACTGGCCTGTTTTGCTTCCAACTGTTTTTGTTTTACGTACGATGATGCTAAGGAGACTTTATCATCACTTGCCTGTGACTTATTTGAAAGCAGAACTGACTCTTCCTCTCCCTTGTCTAGTCTTTCTTGCACGTGTCTTTCAGCATTCTCAATAACCTTGTCAACTGACGCTACTATCTCATCCGCCTCTTTGTCAAGTGACTCAATAATTGTATCTGCCTCTGCAATTTCATTCAGTGCAAAAACTTCTTTAAGACTGGCGACAATTTTTTCAATAAGAGTTAATTCTGCTTTGATTTTGTTAATGGCTCTCCGAACAGCGTTTTTACTCGGCAAAGTTCCTGTTACTGTGTTACTTCCCAGTAGATCACTCAACTGATTCTTTGCTTTCGTAAGTCTAGTCTTGGCTGACTTCTTGTTATTACGTAACGATTGAATTTTACCACTAGCGGTACTTACTGCGCTCCCATCTTTCTTGCTTTCCTTTTCCTGTTCGATTACAACGTCTGGTGGTTTTTCTTTCGTAGAAGGCGGCAAGTCTTCTCCTCCGCTAGTCAGGTCTTGGTCTGGTTTACTGGTGTCCGCCATTACTGTTCATTCATCTGTTCGGTTAAAATCCACTCTCTGTCGTCGCTAAATCCAAACAATCCGGCTCGAAGGACCACAGTTGTTCTTAATCGGCAGAACGGTCAATATCCAACGGGGTCGTCACACAGAGCAATAACTTTTACCTTTTAATTTCACGTTAGAATGAACAGTGAAGTCTCACAATCAACATGTCTTCCTTTGTCTTACACGTGTAAAAATGCGCCCGCGATAAAAATAAGCGGTAAATTCGCGAAATCATCTAGGCAACTAGTTAATCATTGAACGGCTAAATAATTACAATTTTTCGATTCTTAACATTTGAGGAACGTGCCATGTTTGTGGTAGACTTGTTTTTGACATGGCAGGAGGTACACTTTTTAAGCCCACTTTTCTATAATGCTCAAGGAGGTAAACCAGCCCTATTGCATGGTTACAGAGCCCTGCACCTGCTTCACAGTTGCAGGAGGTACTGGTTATTTTAACTTCGGGAGTCCTTGATATCTCAACCTAAAAAAATTAAATGGATAAATATCTGCTGTGAATGTGTGTGTGTATGTTTTAAGAATTAACTCGTATGAAAATTACATCAAGCAAAGTTTGAGCTGAGACAAAACTTAAGTATTATAAATAAGCTTACCTGTAACCTCCATAGCTCTTCATTTTTTCTCTGTGATTTGTAGCTTCAAGCTCTAACAATTACTTCTGTATCCTGAGTTTTTACTGAAAGCAAAGTGCGAATATGGAAGTTTAATACACTATAGATTTTGCACAAGAGATTTCGAATGGCGAATCGTGCAATAAAGGAAAAAAAAGCACCATCTAAGATGCTAAAGAAGCATGCGTAGCGTGAAATCACACCAGGGTTGCAGTTAAATTTGAGACTGAAATGAAACTTTTACCTTCGACATCGAAGATATACCCTTCGCAGAAGTTACTATAACCACGAGTTACCACCTTCTTCGGGACTTCTCCATGTCTCGATAGAAGAGGCGTCAAAAAACGGAACATTGCGGAGAGATTTCGACCACGCAGCAGAAAATCCACCTTCAGCCATATTGGCTAAACAAGCATGTCGTCCAGGATGCCCGTCCAGCCTCGTTTTGGTGCGGCCCTTGATCCAAGGTGGCGGTGCGTGATATTGGAGTATTGGCGACCAGTCAGTCGCAACGTCGGACCCTGGATATGGGCTAAAGTAGCTCCAGTCTACTCCAAGAGGCATTAACATGAAAGCCTACTTCCCTTAGTTTCCACTAGCATCAGATTTAACGACATTTTTGCTCATGCATGCACAGAATCAAAATTCTGTGACCTATGTCTTTGTAGTCTTTTTGTTTTCTTTCATTTTTTTGCCTCTCCTTTTTCTCCTTTTCTTACCTTTTTCCTGCAGTGATTGACCTTTTGCAGGGCTTGCTTCCAGTTCGAAAACGTCTGAGAAAGCATCGTCGAGGCAGGCAATTTTTACCCTGGAGTAGCCACGTGTACTCATAGGAAATTTAGCTCTGAGTTTTTCACTCAAATTTCTGAGCATTTTCATGTATATTTCAGGCTACATTGAGCCAATCACTCTGATCTGGGTATCGTTGGAAAGATCTTTTCCTCTTGCAGAAGTTAAGTACTGTATACAGGGTTCTTGTTAAGATTTTTAGTAACAGGGACCTTTTCCAAAGTAAGAGGGACCAAAATGGCGGCTCTGTTGCCATTTCTTGCCACGTAGTGGCAAGTGGGGGTAGGTGCGGGAGGGGGTTGCCCCCTCCCACTGGGGGGTCCGGGGGGCTTCCTGCTGGAAAATTTGAACATTTTAGGCCCAAATGGGTACATTTGAGGCTACTTTTGCACACTTTCTGTTCTTATATTGGCTGATATAATATGGCATTTGTTACTATGAAACATGCAACTTGTAGTACGGATTACATACCAAAATGCTTAAGAAATAAATGACAACTTTGGCTTTTTCACAATTTTAATATTTATTTTCAAAGTTGTAAAGTTCACATGATATAAATCTATAATACTCCTAGATAAAACACATACCTTTTAGCTTCAATAATCCATAATGTATCTTTCTGCAGTCAGGATGCTCTTCATATGTCAAGAACTGGTGTTTTCTTGTTTTAAATTCACAATTAAAAAAAATTTCCTTGATAATTTATTTCTTCTTTAAAAATAATCATTTTTTGGCTCAGAATGCATTCATTTATGGTGTGATTAACCTAAGACAACTCAGAGCAATGAATTATCTATACTTGATACTTTATAGCTAATCAGAGAAATAGTCTGATTCATAGTCAGAATCTTCCATGTTGTGGCTTTTCTCATCGCATTCAAGCTGGAGAGCAGCAACATACGCGTCGACATTTGACTCACTCTTGATGCTTTGTGAATCATCAACTTCCATGGAGGATGGTACATCTAGATCATGTGGAGTGGTTTCATTGAGTGTTGGTGGATGGTTTGGGACTGCTTCTGCATTTGCCAAGGAAGATGAGGCCACAGTAGCTGAGATGGGAGAAAGCTTTTTAAGCTTTCTTCTATCCTTTTCTTTCAGCCACTCTGCAACCACATCACGGATTAAGAATGGCAACTCCTTTGACTGTTGTTTGGGCCCATTGATAGAAATGTGCAACACGGGGTTTAGCAAATCATTTTTGATTCTTGACCGCAACCTGTTCTTCTGCCATTTCAGGACACTGGCTCCCCTCTCAGGCCAAGCATTACTGACTGGCAACTTAGACAAACTTCAGCCATGAATGACAGCATGGGATAGTGAGATCTATAGGGTGGCTGCATCAGCTTGGATAGGCACCAATCAGTAGCTGTAATTGAACCTTCCCCCTGACGAATAGCTTGTGGCAGATCATTTTCCTTCCACTGCAGTAGGTCATATTTTGCCTTTTGCCATTCCACAATAAGCTGTTGGTGGTCTTCTGCATGCTGAGGCCCTGGGAAGTAATGGTCGGCCAACTTCTTAATCATGCTGGAGCCATATTCACTTTAAGAAAAAGAAATTGTAAAACAGTAAATGAAAAAGCATAAACCAGACAGTGGTCTAATTTGTTTAATGTTAAAACCATGATATCAAAGTACCCAAAGTAGACAATACCTGAAGCCATCGTCGGTTTTTGCAGGAACAGAAAGTAAATCAAATATCTTGAAGGAATCAAGTACGGGAGAGGACTCCTGGAACTGTGCATCAATGTTTTCAGTCAGGGCACCAACATACTTCTTCAAAAAGCTTTTGAGTTGAGTTTCTTGGTGGGATGTTGGCAGTGACTGGTCTGGCTGGTCTCTTGCTCTTAAGTCCTTCAAAACAAGTTGCAAGTTCAGGTTGCAAGTCCTGTATGAAGAATGACAGAAAATCTGATAATGTAATTGTTTTTTTATTCTCGTAGCATAATTGATATTCAACTATATGTCGGTAACTGTTGTGATAACTAAGAAATATACAGGTTTTCACCCTGAATTTCACTAGAACAACTTGACAACTTATAAAACTACATTGATAATACATACATTCCAGTTACAATAAAACATGTAGATAAAGTGTACCTGTTTTAGCACTGCGATAGGTGTCTTGTTGGTAGCAATTTGCTTGAGTTGTTCCTTGGCATACTGAAGTGTAGGAACAATCTTGGCAAGTGAAACTACACCAGCTTGGAAACATTTGCTGATTGTTGTGAGGATAGGAAGAATCATCTTCAGGATATAAATATTCCCTACAGAAAAAGGAAGAAACATAATGCTGTTAAATCATTTGTTCACTAGACTTGTCAATAAAAATATCAGACTTTAACAGTCTTCTAAGTACATACACAGGCCTTTCTTAACCCAGATTAAAAATCTCATTTTTTACCTATGAATTTCACGGTCTTCATCTGGGGTAGTAGACCAATGGCAGTTGCATCATTTTGGAACTCATCAGCACTGAGCATTAAAAGAATTGCAGTGTAGTCCTGCCAAACCCCCAGCACTGCTTTGTCTGTGGACAGCCATCGTTTTCTGCAAGCCCGTTGGAGTTTGTGACCAATTTTGTGTCGTTTCGACTCGTCAGTGGGAAGCTGCATGTCTCGAAGTCTTATTTGCATCTTAAGATACGCTGCCATCTTCACACAGGAGTTTTCGAGCCACTTGTACAGCTGAACCAGTAGGCGTTCTATGGTTAGCATGTACTCCACCTCGTTGTTGGAGTCCCCACAAGCTAATGCCAGTCTGTGGCAGATACAGTGAACATTGATCAGTCTTGGGTTCTCCCTTTTGAGCAGTGCTGCTACACCATTATTCTTGCCAACCATTACTGAAGCTCCATCAGAAGCCAAACTCAGGAATTTTTGAACGTCAAGGTCATCCTTAGCCAGTTCTTCTTTAATGTTGTCAGTGATGGTTTTGGCGTTCGGTGACGCAGCATCCTCCATAAGATCTTTGACAGCTAAAAAGCAGATTTGCACATTTGCATTTTCCACATACCGGATGAAAATGATGTTTTGTTCTTTCACTTGAATGTCAGTAACATTGTCTACCATGAGGCCATAACACTTTGCTTTGTTAGCAGCTTTTGTGATCTTTTCCTTTACTACCCTGCCCATCGTCGTGAGGATTCCTCTTACTGACCACAATGATTCATGTTGGAAATGCTCCAGCTTTTCCAGTCCTATCGTCCGCATCATCTTCAACATGGAGGGGAAGTTTCGGTAGGCAATGCCATGCTGAACCTGCCAGTACAATGACATGAAAGCGCTATACAGAATTTCATGCCTGTGGAGGTTACGCTCGTCAAGTTTTTCTTGAAAAATCGAGGTCCTCTTTAACATTTCTGCTGCAATGGAATCTTTTGGTTGAAATTCTGTCCACTGCAGTGCTCCACAAGTGCTGAGATCTGGAAACGTACAGCGGGTTCCATTCCATATGATGCACTCTTATTGTGCTTGCCCTTTGCCTGGTGAAGTCTGCAGAGTAGATAGTACATACCCTTCTCTTTAATGAAAAGTAACCACCACAGCCCTGTT